CAAAATAATAGTCTAGAAGAAAATATTTAGAATTTGGTTATTGTAGAGCTTGGATTTATTCTGTTTTTACGGCTACATTCTCTGTGAAAATTAGTTAGAGATAAATTCTATTATTTCTGTATATATAGACCTCCATTATACATTGTAAACACACATTAAATGAATAAAATCATTCCATTTCCTCAATTCATTGGTATTAGAGCAGACATCATCTCTCGGTTGCAATCGAGCAACAGGATGGTGATACAGGCGTAATAGTATTTGTCCGAGACTAGTCATGGGTAAGTGCAAAGCTAGTCTCACGTGGACATAGGGATCACGGAGCCTGGTGGATTGTCATGGTTCCCATTACAAGGTATGAAACTTAAATTCTACATCGCAAGTATGGACTTTCGGTGTATGAATTAGACTTAGGCTCTCCAACTTCAACAGTTGGTTTTTTGAGGTATGACTCTTTCAGGATCTATTTAGGATCCTCAATAACTTTTGGGTTATGCTACATGTACCGAATTTTTATACCAAATCTTTTACACTCCAATCACATTAGGAGATGAGGATCACAAGTCGGAATTTTTAAATACACATGGAGCCCGCACGCATTGTGAGAGGGGGGACACCATCCGGTACCCCCATTTGGTACAAAGAGACTAATTCATAATTTATTTATCATTTATCTCTGCAACCGTTGAATTTTGTATTACTAGAATCTCCAAAACAGTCAACACTGGAAGTTTAGTCGAAATCTTCAAATTTTAGGAGTTTTGTTCAGACAACTTAATGAAATTATGTTGAATTTTTTTGTAGTCCAAAAACAACCTGCACCAGAATTTGTAATAAAGATGTTTGTAGTAATCAAACTTGATTTCTTAAGACAATCATTGCAATTTTCCTAATTAATAGACGTCTTTCATTATATCGCCCAAGATATTTGGCACTTTCTATATCCTATAATATAATTAACTAATTGGGATGTACGAATAATTTTCGAAAAATGAGTTGAGTGGCCATTTTTGAACAATTGTCTGTCGTGGTTTCGTGACCCTTCAATATTTTGACGAGACAGGAGCGAAGATCTCAACGGGCTCTTAGTAACGATAGTCTTGAAGTTATTATTTTGATAAGAATGTATAGATCGTAAGTGGGTCAGAATTAGAGATAATAATATGAAAAACGAAATGGACAATTTGAGCAACCAACTTTGGATGCTTATAAATTTTGGAAAAATTGGGAATTGCATATGAAATATATTATATTTTCATTAATATAATTTAAAATTTAAAATACAGAAACTACTATATTTTCTATAAAAAAAAAAATACCAGAACTACTGGCAACCAAACTTTCCTCGTATACCATGAAGTAACTGACATTCTCTTTCTTGAATGGGCTGAAGAATTGGAGATCATTTAATTGCCTCCTGCCATTACGGGAATTCAAATTGAGATGGAAATCGACTTCATACAACTTTGAATCGATGATATTTCATAAAGCTTACTACCACCTGTCATATTTGGGAAATTCCGATCAAATTTTTTTTCTACAATCTACCAATAACAGACGCTATTATTTGTTGTATATAAAGATTTTATATTTTGACCATGATATTACAGATTTTCGAATGTATATTTCATCTGCCATTTGTTCTGATCATCGTTTTTTTCTAGGAGTTGGGAAATTCATGCAAAATGTGGAATGGAGTCCTAGCGTAGTGTGACAGGTTCCAGTTCTAATGAATTTCATTTTATGGGATTAATCCTTGGGTTTCTTGTATCATCCCTTCCAGTAGTTCATAATAACAGGAACATATTTAACACTAAGGGGAGGAAATTCTAGAAACCGGTCCTTCTGATCAAGCAGATAAACACACGCAATCATTTTTTAAATATAGTAATAATGGAAGTGCAATACTCGGTGAAATAAAAATAAAGTACGCTCAAATCCTCACCAAGAAAAGAAAATTCAAAACTTTCTTAAAAATTGTCACAGAATTGAATTGAGAATGTAAGTTATAATTTTGCACCTGCCAGATCATGAACTAATAGTAAATTCATCCAATTGTTGAACTTCCGTTTCAGGAATGGAATAGGATCAAGAAAAAAAAAGCATTACACTTGCATAGAAGAGATTCTACATATACGAAGAAAAAGGTGTTCAGAGACCAAATAAATTCGAAATTTATGACATAGATATTGTTTTCTTTCCAGGAAATAGATTAGCTAATCTAGGTTTAAGCTGCCAGATGGAGCATTTTGTTCTAAAATAAAACATCTTCATTTATTTATTAAGCAATCCAAGTATCAGTGTAGTAAATATATATTACACAGTATAGATACAAACATGTTGTGTTTTATAGGCAAATTATGAACCACTGTACCGGTTTATAACCATCTATCATGTAATCAGGATGATGAGATGCAGCTTATTAGGTTTTCCAGAGTTCCATGTGAAGAGCCACCATGCCTCAAGGAAACATTTGCCTTCTCTTTGAAATCCACTACCCTATTTCTGATCTCTTCACCTTCTTCATTGTCCATTAGTTTTCTGATGACCTCCACAATAGTTTTCCTCTCCAAGCCATTATCCAGTTGTACCCCAACTTTCCAAACATGAGTAACATACCTTGCAATCACAAACTGGTCTGTAAAACATGGCATGCAGATCATAGGGACCCCGGCACATATGCTCTCTAGAGTCGAGTTCCAGCCATTATGAGTCCAAAACGCTCCTACAGCAGGATGAGCAAGCACTTCTAGTTGAGGAGCCCATTTGACAATATGTCCTCTTTCACCCACCATATCTAAGAAACCACTAGGCAATGATTCCAGCCATTGCGAGCCATGAATTGATCCAGGTCGAATTACCCATAAGAAAGGATGCTTGCAATTTGCTAGCCCCCAAGCAATCTCCAAAAATTCATTTTCTTTTACAGCAGCTATACTTCCAAAGCTCACATAAATTACAGATTTAGGGGCTTGCTTATCAAGCCAAGAAATAGAAGTCTCATCTGGTTGCACCAAGCTACTTGAAGCAGATGGAAAGTACTGGTGAAAGGGGCCAACTGGGAATATTGGCGTTGGAAATTCTTGGCGAACTGCAGCAACTGCAGATTGTTCAAGTTCTTCAAATGAATTGAAAATTACGCCTGAAGAAGTCCTAGCTTCATTGACTAGTCCTGCAATTAGCTGATAGAACATCTCTGCATTCGGTACATTGATAACAGGAAGATCCTTAACTCTTAAAGGAGGAAGCTCTGGAACAGGTTCTTCTAGTCGAGAAGCTGAAGGCAAACAGGGAAAGAAGAGATTGGTGATCTCAATGATGGGCTTTGGTTTAAAATTAGTGATATAGAAGACGTGTGAGATTTTAATAAAATTGACAGCATAAGTTTAAACAGCAGTTTCTAAAACAAACTCTTTTCTGAAATTTCAGAAATAGACTGGGATCTCTTCTTTTACTGACTATGACTGGACTCTATTACATCATTACTCTATGTAAGAAACCATAATTCAAACCAAAGTTCATACTGGGAAAATATGTCTTCAGTCTTTTAACTCCTTTTGCAATTGAAAGGAAAAATGTTTGAACTCCAAAGGATCAAGATACTTGGAATACAGATTTCTAGGTATCAAGATTTCATTTCGTCCAAACGAATAGACCCATTGGTTTCTCAGATTTTAATGCTACTTCTCAAGAACTTGTCTCCAATTTATGGTGCTTTGCAAATGTTTCATTTACATTTAATTCGCAGTTTATTTTCTTTCCCTGATGAGTTCTTGCAGCGACTGTTGCAGTAACTAATATATGTTAAAAGGATTAAACTATTTGTACACACAAAGTATACACCTCATTGACACCTCCTTACGTGTCAAAAATCTGACAGTTAATTAAAAAGGTGTTGTCAAGATCAATATACCAAAATCTGTTAAGTGTAAACTATTATGTTTGTGACTCAAATTCCATGTGATTTGGAAGTTTGATTCATGGAGGAAGCCTGGATAATTCTAGTTTAGAAGTTCTATTTGTTAAGTGATTAAATTTTATCATGGATTGAGAGTTTGATTAGAATAAAGACTTTTAAAATGGATAAGGACTCTACTTTATCTATAACTTCAAGATTTGGTTCCTATAAATCCTCCACAAGGTGTAGACTCTTTATAGACTTAAGAGAGGCTCAACATAATAATTAGATCATTATTGTATACATTAGAAATTTGANTCCTATAAATCCTCCACAAGGTGTAGACTCTTTATAGACTTAAGAGAGGCTCAACATAATAATTAGATCATTATTGTATACATTAGAAATTTGAGAGAATTGTTTAGATTTAGATTGAGAGAATTAAATCTTGTAAAGACAATTTTAGTTTCTTGGTATAATTAATTATATCCTCTTCTTCCACAAAAATCTTGATTGTTGAGTGACTCATTAATTTCATATTACTCATATTATTCTCATCTTTAATTATTTGACCGAATTCTCAACAAATTAGTATTAGAGGGATTTTGGTATTTTGTTTGTTTTCTAACAAGTGGAATCAAAGCCAAGGTTTTTTACGGTTCTTGAGAGGTCCAAATTGGTTATTAAAGCGAGATTTGAACAAGGTTGATTGTTTCAGAGATGGCAATCATAAAATTTGAGATTCCGCTTTTGGATCGCGCAGTAGATTTTCTTTATGACAGATCAAGATGCGAGTAGTTCTTGCTCAATTGGATCTTGATGATACTTTGTTGGGGATAGATAGAATGCCTGTAACAATGACTGTGAAGGAGAAGCAACGAAATGATCGAAAAGCTCTATCGCAAGTACATTTTCATCATTCCAATCATTCTTCGGGACATGATAAAGGAGAAGCACCGCTGGGTTGTGCTTAAAATTGGACCAGCTTTGTATGACAAAGAGTTTGACAAGTAAGTTACACTTGAAGCAGCTCTTGTATTCTTATCACTCGAGGGAATGTGGATCTTTGGAAGATCATTTATCGGTATTCAAGGAAATTGTCGTTGATTTGGAGATCGGTAAGGTTAAATATAATAAAGAGGATTTAAGGTTGATATTGTTATGTTCGTGGCTGCTTTCATATGTGACTTTTAGATATTCAATTCTCTATAGTCGAAATACTCTTACTATTGATGAGGTATATAATGCACTTTATTTTGAGGAGAAGATGAAGCATCTGGTCGTCGGATCTGAGGGTCTTGTTATTTGTAAGAGGAAGGCACGTGGTCATGAAAGGGACATAGTCAAGAATAGCAACAGTGATAAAGTTTGTTGCTATTGCAACAGTAAGGGATTGCTATGAGTAGCGAAAAATGTTTGCTACTACATATCAATAAGAACAATCAGAAAATTTCCGTAATGTCAATCTTGCAGAAGAAGACTGTGATGGAGATCTTTTGGCGATTGCTGAAGATGACTCTAAACTCGACACGGATTAGATCTTGATTCGACTTACACTTTTCATGTGTTCAAACCAGGATTGGTTTTCTTCATATGAAACAGTTACAAGGGGTTCCATGATGATGAGAAATAATGAGCTTTGTAAAATAGCTAGGATTGGTAATGTTAAAATCAAGATGTATGATGGGACGATTAGAACATTTAGCTAGGTTCGAGATGTTCAAGGTATAAATAGGAATGTAATCTTTTTAAGTACTCTTGATTTAAAAGTGTTAGTTTTAAAGATAAAGAAACAGAGGAAAAATTAAAAATACAGAGAAGAAGAAGATCCAGAAGTTGCAACATCAAAGGGAATTCATTTATTCAATCAACAATCTTACATTTAAATAGCTAAAGGAAAAACTGAAAACAGCAAGTAAAATGCAGAAATTTAAGGCATTCAAGCCATTATCTACATCACGTTAAAATAATAGAAAAACAACTCCTTAAGACTAGGGCTAACTTATTGACTGAGAGATAGAATATCTAAAACAATAACAATAATTAGAAAAGTGACGTGGACTAATAACAGTCCTAAAGCAATTTTTAACAAAAAGGATACAGGTATACCAGTGAAAGTGGAGGTAGAGTTCTGAAAGTTAGGAAGGGTGCCCGGGTAGAGTTCGATGGTCACTATGGATGCAGTTGCAGCTGATAGTTTGATAAGCAATAACTCGGGTAGAGTTGGTTGTGTTTGGGTTGTTCGTGGTCATTCAATCAATAATATTAGGAAATCTTCTAGTAGATCAGGTGGAGCTGGTTGTGATCTTGTTAATCATGTTACTCGTGGTGATTCGAGCAGGCTTGACAACTCAGGTGGTGTTGGTGTTGGTGTTGGCGTTGCTCGTAGTGATTCAAGCAGGTTCGGTGGCTCGATTGGAGCTGTAATGAACAGGACGATTCAAATAGGTTTGGTGCGCAAGGTAGTTCTGCTGGTAAGCAAGGCTTGAATTTAGTTCATAGTTGCTGAGTGTGCCCAGGAGGGGTATGGTGTGGCGACATGGTGGAAGAGTTGGAGAATGATTTGAAGAGTGAAGACTTAATTCCATGCTATCGAATTTGTATCAAGGTGAAGTTTGTTATGTTTTGTGACTCAAATTCCATGCGATTTGGAAGTTTGATTCATGGAGAAAACTTAGATAATTTTGGTTTAAAAGTACCATTTGATAAGGGATTAAATTTCATCATGGATTGAGAGTTTAATTAGGATAAGAACTTTGGAATTGATAAGGACTTTGGGATCAAGGATTCTATTTCATCCATAATTCCAGGATTTTGCTCATATACATACTCCACAAGGCGTAGGCTCTTTATAGACTTAAGACTCAACATAACAATTAAATCATTGTTGAATACATTAGAAACTTAATAGAATTTTTTGGATTTAGATTGAGAAAATTAAATCTTGTAAATACAATTTTAGTTTCTTCATACAATAAATTATCCTCTTCTTCCAAAAAATCTTGGTTGTTGTGTAATCCATTAATTTTCATATTCCTCGTATTATTCTCGTCTTCAATTCTTTGGTCGGATTTTCAACAAATCGGTATCAGAACGATTCTGATATTTGTTTGTTTTCTAACATAAACTATTGTGTGGACCTTTATCTACATGTAGCATGGTCCATGTTAAAATTCGAGCCCATAAACGAACTGCATATCTTAAATTCCATAACATGCAAAGATTTTTACAAGAGTTTGATTTCCATGTACAGGAAAAGAAATTGAAAATTTCACACTTGTGTATACACTATGAAGTATAGAAAAACTATGAAACAACATTAGGTTAAGACAAACCTTGAATAGGGAGATATCCTTTTTCGCGAAGAAGTGGAATTGCAGCAAAAGCCCGGAAAACCCCAACACCAGACGTTCTTAACACAAACCTGGGCAGCTTAAAACTCTCAGCAACTTCCCTAGTAAAATGCAACACAGTATCTGATATCAAACAGGTGGTGTGCACCTTTGACTCTCCAGACAACAAATCCGTCAAACAATCTTTAAAAGGATCTAAACAATTAACGTTGAGAATCGAAGCAAGAGCAAAGATACTAAGTTCCGAGGTTTTTTTCTCGGAGAAACCATCGGAGATTGGGAGAAAGGTGAAGTTGGGATAACTGGATGGATTTGGAGAATTGTATCTGGTGTGAATTATAGTTATGGAAAAGCCTTTTGAGTAAAAAATTTCAGCCAATTGAAGCATGGGAGTAACGTGGCCTTGGAGTGGCAGTGGGAAGAATAGCAGCCGCCCGCGTCCTCCTTTGTCCGCCATGAAAATGGCCTTTCCGACTGTGGATATAAATAGCTTTTTTGTTACAACTTCTCCTCAGTTTCACATTTATTCGTCTTCTCGAAAGACCGCTGACTTGACTCGGAGGGTAGACCAGTGTTAATCCTTATTATTATATTATAGGGTTAATTTCACTAACGATCATTGAAGTTACCTGAAAATTATAAAACGATCATTGAAGTTTAAAACTTGTAAAAACGGTCACTGAAGTTTAAATTTCTTTCACAAACGATCACTGAATTTTCAAATTTTTTGGGCAAGTTTTGCGGCGATTTCCGACAACTTCCGACCACCAAAACTGCCGGATTTGGATACCATTGGAAAGCCCACAATGGCCTCTTCAATTACTACAAAAAATCTCCCCATAACCCCAAGGGATTCGGCCGAAATATACCCACGAAATCGGCTACCGAATAATCTAAAAATNTGATTTCGTGGGTTTATTCCGACCGAATCCCTTGGAATTATGTGGAGATTTTTTGTGGTAATTGAAGAGGACATTATGGGCTTTCCAACGGTATACGAAACTGACGGTATTGGTGGTTGGAAGTTGCCAGAAAATTACTGCAAACTCGCCCAAAAAATCTGAAAATCTGGGAAGATTTTCAGATTTTTCGGTAGCCGATTTCGTGGGTATATTTCGGCCGAATCTCTTAGAGTTATGGGGAGATTTTTTGTAGTAATTGAAGAGGATATTATAGGCTTTCCAACGGTATCCAAATCCGACGGTCTTGGTGGTCGGCAATTGCCGAAAAATCGTCGCAAAACTACCCAAAAAATATGAAAATTCCGGGACTGTTTGTGAAAGAAATTTAAATTTCAGTGACCGTTTCTGCAAGTTTTAAACTTCAGTGACCGTTTTGTGATTTTTAGGTAACTTCAGTGACCGTCTGTGAAATTAACCCTTATATTATATGAAAAGTTGTATTTTTTCTTCCCTTTTTTTCGAAGAAAAATTGCACTATTGAGGTCCAATAAATTACATTTTTAGCAATTTACTTCTCAACTTTATCTTTTACTGATTTTAGTAACAGTGTTATTTCCTAAATAGATTAAAATTGTTTACTTCTGTCTTTAAAATTGTTTTATTTTAACGACCAATGCACTCTTTTTTTGTACAGACCATTGCATTCTTATTCCTTGTTAGCCTAAATAAATTGTCGATCATGTGGGCAACAACACTCTGGACGCCTCCTCTTCAATTTAGATTCCACCTACACATTGAATACGTCGTTAGGAGGCAAAGGTTGCCGACCGAGAAAAATGTACAACAACTGTTTGCACACCAATAATCAAGTCACTGTCGAAATTAAATTTATAAAGTGCAAGGAAAAATAGTGGAATGGGAGTGGCTAGAGGAAATGAAAACTTACTTTTAAATATAGGAATATATTGCCTATTTATTATAGAGAGTGAAATAGGCCAGATGGGCTGTAGGAATAATGGACTGAAATCAAACCAAGATGAGTTAACTAAGCGAATAATACATATATCAGCTATTTAGGAAACACTATTTCAATTTTACAATAAATACTTTCAAATTTCAGAAATCAAGTTGCAACTAATAAAAAAAATTTATAATATATTATATATAGAAATTTCCTTAATTTGGTATGATTTAATAAAATCCCTAAAATCATGGAATCCGTTATCATTTGAAAACAAGATTCTCATCAAAACAGCTATTCCTCCTCTATGTAACCAGCTAATCTTCCAGAAGCGATTCCATTGATCTCTGCAATTCGAAATTGCGGAGTGCTAGGAGCTCACAGTTGCTCCGAGTTTAGAGGATCACGCTTAAGCCGGGTTATTGGTGCAAAGAGGTCATAAATATCTCAACTGAGATCACGTCCGAATACGGTCAAAATCGTATTTCTACAATTGAAAAATTGTTGGTCGAGGCAGGTCACAACCTAACAGGAAATCAGGACGCTATTATCTCTCTTCAATTGTAAGTATTCCTCTACTATTATTGTTTTACATTGCATTGATGTTGATGGCTGCCAATTTTTCATTATCTCTTCGTAAGTTTTTAGTGTGTGTAACTGACAACGATTTTGTTATGAACGATAATTGCAATTGTGACCGATTTTTACGATGCACGCCATCTTTACGAATTGCAAATCAATAAATATGTGTGGCAACAATTTATCCATGTAACTATAATATGAATCTGTGATCTTAGTATGTATTTGTGACCAAGTTTTCGTTTGTGACTGAGAATTAGAATTGTGACCAAAATATTGCAGTGTGACCATCATGCTGCGAAACAGTGAAACAGGCGTGAAAATTGGTGTGATGATGTGAAACGTTGTGACCTTAATGTCATTGTGTTGTGACTTTATTGTGGTTTGTCACTGACATTGCTTGTGCATAAATACAGAAATAGGTTACGCGCATGTCTGCTTGATGTATGGAGAACAATCATCGTTGTTGTTGCTAGATTGTAATTGCTGCTATGTGAAGCTTCTGGACGCGATAGTGACAGAATTCGGTTTAGATCCTACTAGGGGCGGTGGTCACAATGAAATACCAATTGAAAAATGATATGCCTTTAGCCAGAATAAGAAGTGACAGCAATATTTCGTCGTACATTACTCTCAAAGGTATGGATCGTGCTCCTTCCAAATATCCCATCAATATTGAGGACACAGAGTCAGAAAGTAGACATCAGTGTCTCAGTTTTCCACACACCCAGGCAGTCTCGGCTACTGTAAAATNCACACATGTGCTTCAAACATAGTATTAAGATCTCACAGGCAGGTCACAACATCCGTAGTGTCTTCCTTCATCAAGTATAAGTATACATGGTTACGTACCATATACACTCTGAATGGTACATGTAATGACATCTTACATACCTAAGGAGTTTCTTTGAACTATGTTAAAGTTTGGAGATCCTAATACTAGACTTTGAAAATGATTAGCGGTGATCCTAAAGAGTCGTACCAACTGCTACTAAGCTACTTTTACATGCTTGAACGGACGAATCCAGGAACGGTTACGGGATTTGAGGTTGATAGTCACAGTAGATTCAAGAATTGCTTCATGGCGCTTGGTGCATCAATTAGAGGATGGTTACATTGTAGACTTGTCATTGTTGTTGATGGAACCTACTTGACTGGACACTACGGTGGTATATTGTTCACAACATGTACACAAGATGCGAATAACAGCATATACTTACTCGCAGTTGGAATTGGAGATAATGAAAACGATAAATCATGAACCTGGTTTTTCGAAAAGTTGAAGTCCGCTTATGGAACAAGATAAGGTCTATGCTTTGTACCGGATCGTCACAACAGTATCAGGAATGTAATTGAACGTGTTTATCCAGGAACTTGTCATGGGATTTGCACATACCATCTACTACAAAACCTCAAATCATATTACAGAAAATCTGGTCACAACATAACTCAAGCCTTCAATGCAGCTGTGCGTGCATTCACATTGACAGAGTACGAGTACAATATGCAACAATTAGATAAGATCAACGCGAAGATCGGGAGATACTTGGTAAGCTATTACTTTCCCTCACTAAATACTATCATGACTTTATATATCTAATTTCTTCTTCAATTTTTGCATTTTGTATAATGAAGTTGGACCAGAAAGGTGGTCAAAATACCACATTCAGGCAAACAGATACTCCGCTATGACGTCTAATATAGTATAATCGGTGAATGGGGTCACAAAAGCAGAAAAGAACTATCCTATTGTGGCTTTGTTGGAGTCATTGCGAGAAATCGTACAATCTTGATGCTATAAGAATAGAGATATTGCAAATAGCACATTCACGAAGTTGTCTACAAAATACAAGAAATTAATTAGAAAAATGAGCACGGAATTGAAAAACATGAGGGTAATTGTAGTATATGCTAGATTATTCAATATATTTGTCTTAAAATTGAACCTAAATGTTTTATTTGTGACCTAACATGATGTACTTTCTTTGTGTAGGTTTCTCCTGCCAACTAAATAATATTTTCGATTTCGAACGAGAGCTCCACATTTGTTGTCAACATAGAGCAGCTTACGTGTACATGTAGGATGCTCCAAGTTGATCAGATACCATGTCCACACACTTTAGCAGTGATAGCAACTACGAAGGGAGATTTATATGATTACTGTTCGTACTTTTACACTTCAACATAGAGCAGCGTACGTGTACATGTAAGATGTTCCAAGTTGATCAGATATCGTGTCCACACAGTTTAGCAGTGATAGCAACTATGAAGAGAGACTTATACGATTATTGTTCGTACTTTTATACACGAGAGGTGTAAACGAATACATACCAGGAATCTCTATACCCAGTCGATAATCGAAATGAATGAACTGTGACTTAAGAAATAGAAAGCGTAGTTATATTACCGCCCAACGAGAAGAAGAGTTCAGGGAGGCTAGCAGAAAAAGAGGAAAAGATCGTCTGTATAAATCTGTGACATTTGACTTGTACATGTGTACATGAATTGTGACATGTGAACTTCTGCATATTTGAAACATACCGTACTGCTAAGAGAAGAGTCTGGGCATACAAGCTCATACAACCATGATTTGGAAATTACCGTTAATGACCCAATGAAAAAGGGAGGACGAATGATATCATCAGTGTCATTAATTTTTTTCCTGAAAGTAGAAAATAACCAAGACTTAACTCGAAGAACAATGTTTTTGCAACAAAGTCAACTTCATCCGCAGACTTGTCGTGATTTTGAGAAACAACAATAGTGTCCGAATTCTTAGTTTATTTTCCTACATCGATGATGTATGGGGATTGTAGTACTCTTGTGGGTTTTGGAGTCCTCTTAACAGGAAATCCAGACGTCGGTGCAGAAGGGGATGATACTTGCACGTAACATCATTAGTGTGACTCGTGACTTGTTGACCGATATATGTAACTTTGTGATTTGTGAAGCACAAATAGTGTTGTGACCTATGATTTGTCAGTGGAGAGAGTATGAATGGAAATGGATAGAGAT